TTTTTTTTTTTGCCTTATTTGTAAACTAATTATTGAAAACAAAAGGTCTAAGCAAAAACTAAAAAACAATGATAATTAAACTTTCTTATCATTGTTGCCAAACATTCATTTTCTCAATATTTTGTCCACTTTTTTTCTCACTTTTTTCGCTCTCTTCAATTTTTTTTTTTCTGAAAGAAAAACCAAATATAAAACAGCACATAAATTTTTAACTACTACCATTTAATAACATGAAAAATAGATGTTCATGAAACAAGTAGTCTCCAATAACTTTATCCTTTCTTTGTTGTTGTCATTTTTAATGACCTTTTCTTAACTAAACGTTGTTTAATGGAACTGCTACTTATTGAAAATGCAAAAAAAATTTCGTCTACAAAATAAACAGCTGAAAAGAAAAATGGAATAAAAAGCTAATTGTGAAAATGTTTTTAGGTTCCAAAAATTTTATGTCTTAACAACCACTGAAGCAAATCGAACTTTTCACTGCTGTAATGGCTATTCCCAAATATGTGTTTAATTACTCAGACATCCAACAGTCTAGGAATGTTGCAATCAACCAGTATAATGCTTGTTTCCACCAAACATATAGTAAGTCATTACCAAGATTTATCTAAGCGTTTTAACACTGTTCTAGCCTAAACTTTTACTTACCGCTTTTCGAACCCATTTATAGGTTGGTGGTGGTCTTCCAGTGGCACTACATTTTAAATCCACATTTTGACCTTCATAAACCATATCTTTGTCCGGTGAAACCAACGGTAACATTGTCGGTTTAGCTGAAAAAATTTAGAAATTATAAAAGTCAAGGATTAAAAAATAGAGATAAAAATTTGAAAAAAAAAATTGCCGCCTAATTTATCCCATATCTTCTTTTTTTTTCCTCTTCTCCCTCGCTGTTTCTTGTTTTAATCGCTGTTGTTCAAAATCTCAACGTTATTAAGTCGATCTGATTGATATAAGATTTATGACTGTTCATTGTACTTTTATAAACGTTTTTTTTTTTTTGCACAAAATCAATTGCTAATTGTTGCACTTTTTTGTCCAGAATTATTTGAAAAATAAGAAAAAAAATCCGTCATTTTTTTTTCCAATTTGTCTGCTTCAAATGTTGAAATTGTTTCAGCAGAACAAAAAAACGAAAAAAATAAGAATCTGTGGTCAGCTATTGAAAAGCAATGACAAGAATAAAATGTTGTCTTCCAAAAGCACTATAATGCCACTTTGATTATCTGCAAATGGATACCATAAGCGGTGACATTGATGGTTAGCCAAAAGAACTTGTCCAATGCTCGAACATAGCACTGATAAGTGCCATCATCTCGTTCAGCATGAAAATATGGAACTGACAACGTTTGGCCATCATCTTTTAGAACATAGGCTCTTGGTCCGCCTGAAAAACAAGGATACAATTATGGTGACGTGCGAAATCAATGGGGTATAGGACACTTCTGGTAAAAGTTGCAGTATCCCTCTGTATCTTTGATAATTGAAAGATCTAGATAACGAGTTACCGGGGTCTAATTTATTAAGAAAGTTACAAATTAGGGATATTACACTGCACCAACAATGTAATACACTTTTGATAAATGAATTGTAAGAAAGATAAATAATTTACGTATGTACAGTGTATATCCACAATTTTTGTAAACTTATCAGGTTTGACGAGTTCATCCGTCGGTTACTGTGCCAGTTCTTTGTCAGTTAAATTTAAAGATTTGGAACAAAGCAGTAATAAAGAGAAAAGCAAAATAAAAATCGGTAAATAAATCAAAGCGTAATTAAAATAATTTACAGCTTCAAAAAAAAGAGAACGATTTTAAAATGTCAGTATTGAAATCATTATCAAAAACTAATAGAAATTTTCATTCTAGGCAAATATTTTTGAGAACTGAACGACGTTGAAAAAGTGTTATTAACACTTTGATGATATTACAGCAATTTAAACAAAAATTCAATAATAACTATATATGAACAAATTGTGATAAGAAAATTCAAATAAAATTTTAGCCAATATTTACAAATCAGTTTAGAAAAAATTCTGATAAAAATTTTTTTTTTATCTTTCTCTTTTTTTTTTTGTAGGCAGAAAAAAACATTACTTTTTTGCTGATCCTCCAACAACTATTAACAACTCTTTGAGCATAGGGCCACAGCAACAGCAGCATAGGGAAATGGAAATTGTTCAGTTGTCAACTGAACAATCAATGCATAATTTTCAACAACGACAGCAAATTTTTTATCTTGCAAAAAAGTAAGAAGTAAAAAAAAAACACCCATAAGTTCAAAATTTTTTAAAAAAAAAAAATTTTGGCAGAGCAAAAAAAAAAAAAAAAAAAAAAAAAAAAAAA